TTTTTTTTTTTTTTTTGCTCCACTGATATCTGTCATGTTAGAAGATCAAACCATTGTAAGATGTGGATTTTTTCCTACTTCTCCACTTAGTAGTATTGTGGTTTTAGTGAAAATTAGGGCTATAAGTATTATAGGTATTATGATTTGTATTGAACATATGTATATATGTATAGCTAGAGCACAGAGTATACCACTTCCAAGAAATAATGGTGGTTGTTCCAGGTGTGTGCTAGAGATATCTATTCTAGCCTTGGCTGAATGTTTTAACTGGCTGTATTGTAAGTATTGTTGTTTCTCAAGGCAATATATATCAATGAGCTGTTGGAATGTTATCAAGGTGCTATGGTCAAAAATGTGATTAAAGTGCATAATCCCTTTTTGTCTTTGTTGGTGTTATTCATAGGACACACTGAGATCTGAGGGAGGTATGAAAACTTATGGTGCACTTTGGATAAAGCCATAGTGTTAAACTAGTAGTAGCGCTTACGGGCAAAGAGAGAGAGAGACTGTGAGAGGATGAATGCAAATGACAATGTATGGTGCGATGTACAATGATATAGTGGAGGGATGAGACAAGAAGATAGTGTTTGAAAGCAATTACAAATCTGGCTACAAAGCACCTAAGAAGCTTTATGGATAAATTAAGAAGAAGTTGCAATGTTGCAAGACAAGCCACTAACTGCCATGTTCAGCTCCCACTGAGAAGGTTTAAGATCGCAGGGCCTATCAAACTTCACCGCACAGCAGGACGAGAGTGGAGTGAAGGGTGTTGGTGGAAAGTTTGGTGTCATACCATATCCATATTCATTCCATACGTTTGAAGTCGAAAGAGGGCGGCTTTAATAATCATGGCTACATGGTCTTCAAAGAGAGATGAGACATGGGGAAGAGGAGTATAGTGTGAATGAGGAACTTCAAAGGGTTTTTGCGTGCACTCCCACATCCGTGTACACATAGCAAACACACACGCGCACACACACACACGTAGACTGTACTGTATTTACATATGAATGTCTATAACCAAAGGGTTCATAGGAAAATGAGAAAGAACAAGTTGCTCTACTTGATACATACTGTTCAGTAACTTTAATCATCATGAAAACAAGCAAAAAGTGTGACACTAAAGTTAACAGGACTGCTGATTTAATATCTGTGTCATCCAAACAGCTGTAATTAGTTCTTCACAGTGACATGAGCCATGCTGCCTGTGCATGATCTCTATTGTCTCTATTACAAACTAGTATCCAATGGTTTGTCTGCTAACTGGCTGTTTGAGTCCCAACTTGAAGTCAGGTAAGGTTGTGTGAGCTGAAGTATTGCGTCATGTATCCAAATCATACATTATAGGTAAAAGGAGTTGTAACACAGCAGCACATCTTAGAATAAGCACAGAAGTGACTTGAAATGTTCCTAAAATCAATGCTAAATCAAAGTTACAAGACTTTATCTAAACTATATCTGAAACAGATGTAGTTAGATTAGACCTTTAACATTCGATAATACTTACTTTTAGAATTTAGAAATAAACAACTTCATTGTGAACGCAGCTGCACCAAAAGTCAAGTGAAATGAAACATACAATACACTTTCTTCCTAAATAAGGAAAGAAATCACTTTCCTGATATAAGCAGTGACTTTGTCTATGGATGTACAGTTAAAACTACTAGTGCTGATGTCTCTCTCTCCATATGAGACACATGCCTCAAGCCAAAACAGCCTTTCATCCTCCCAAAGCCATGCATTATTGATGATCAGACCAGAGAGAGACACTGAAACACACACTGTGTATCCCAGTGTGACGACTGCCTGCCTGTGTGAACGCGTGTATGGATGCACATCTGTGTGTGCCTAAGTGTGTGTGAGTGTATGTGACTAAACAGGTGGGCTGGATCCTTTCAGTCATTAGCTGTGTAAATTGTCAGAGAACCAATCAAAAAGCAGATGATGACAGTAAAGCAGCCATTGGCTCACACTCTCTACTATCATCATGACAACAACCTCTGTGACCAACTACCATCTCCAGTGTCTCCAGTATGTGTGCTATTTGTTTCTTGTTGCACATAAAAACATTTCGTACGTGTGATGCCATCATTTCAAGCGTTTGCTGACGCAATACTTGTGTTTACAATGAACCCTGCAGCCTTCATCGACACATAGCAAACTTCTTCAGAGAGTTTGCTTGTAGAATATTCAAGTTCTCATTTCCCCCATTTCAATAGAAACAACAACCAGACAGACCAGTGTTTCCTAGTAAGGCAAAGTAGTGCAGGATTGCTTAGGGGCCATTTTAAACTCTTGAAAGAATTAATTCAAGCGTCACATTTTTAATTAGCCTATGCATGTTATGGAAAAAATGGAAGGTGAAAAATACACTGCTGCTTCTAGTTAAATCACAATAAGCTTATTTCAGCAAGAGGAATAAGCTTGTGAAAAATGCTTCTTATTTCAATAAGCAGCTTTTCTTATGTATTAGAAATACAGCATAAAATTATTATCACCATAGCATTGAGGTATATATCAGACCATTTAATGACATGATTTTGCTCCTGGTGAATTTATTAATATTACAGCACAAGAACGGGGGCTGTTCTATGCAAATAAATGGTCCTAAGCCTAAAAATATTCAATTTACAATGATGAAAAACACAGAGAGAATCTGCTGATTTTAGAAGTTAGAACAGGTGAATGGTGAAAAATGTGAAAAATTACTTATAAGATTCACTGATAATCAAAAATCAGCTAAATGTTTGAACACTAATAAGAAATATTCATTATTTTTAGATTTTGCTCTTTATGTCCTAATCAAAAGAAGTAAAACTATACTGTAACACTGCAGAGTTGTCCAACTACATTGATTTATTTCCTTGGTAAAGACTATTTCAAGACTGAAAATCAGACTAAAGTTGCCAAGTTGCCCGAATTGATTTTTGCATTGATTTCTGTCTTCAGCAGTCAAACAGAATAAGAAATGTTTTATTTGTTATTCTATGTGATATAAACAAAAATAATCATATTTTATTCACACAGGTGATGTTTGAACAACGTTGTGAATATCGCTGCTAAAGTTCATAAAGTATCAATTCATCTTTCACCACATTCCCACAATATTCTTCAATTGAAGAAAATAAAATGTCATAGAGAAGTCAAGAATGATCTTTAGAGAGTAACAAAATAAACCTTCACTCTCTGACGGGGCTCATGGGTTGTTGCTGAGCCTGTGGGAATGTGCGGTACATTGATGTTTCTAATGAAGAGCGCTGAGCTCCATTGATCCACCAGGGATGAGAGTGAGCTGTCAAAAGCTATCAGGCAAGTCAAAGACCCACTTTCAGCCCTGTGCAGCTGAAGTGAGCACGATACTGTTGGGGCACAAGGAAGAGCAGCTAAACCTCCCAAGGCAAATGCTACAGTGAAGAGGCACACACGCAGTCACAGCTTTGATGCCTTCACGGGGTTAAAGGGGTTATTTGTTCAATAAAGAAATATTACACAAATAACAAGGGGTTAGGATGTGTCAGACATTAGAGCAGTGTTTACCCATGCTGCCTTCAGGTCTGTTTGGTGCCACTGTCTAAGAACAACTTTCCATTTTATTAACAGGATATGTGTAGGCAGACTGGGGCTGATTAGTTTCATTTTTAGACTACATGCTTAGTCTATAAAATGTCAAAAGCAGTGAAGAATGTCCATCACGAGAGCCAAAAGTGGTGTCTTCAAATGTCTTTAAAAGTCGAAAACCCAAAGATATCCAGTTTGCAATCATATATGATAAAGAGACAAAGTCCCATCTGAGGAGTTAAAAACAGAGAATGTGCAGCATTTTTCCCTACTTCTATGGAAAAATGGTCAAAATCGAATATCCAAATAAAAAAAAGCACGTCCACTTATCAAATATGAGTGTTGTTTCATCAAGTTCGGTTGTTCATAGTGCTGTACTTACAGTATGCATAATACAAGCTAGTGAAAGCACAAATCATTGCATAGATACTGAGAGTAAATGCAGGATTAAACTGGATTAAAACAGAGCACAGATGTGAATGTAGGTGGAGCTACAGTAATGTACAGTAGGGTGCTTTCATATAACAATGCAGTTTAGTATAGAGTAAATAAGAGACACGTATATTAATGACTACACCAGTATCATTTAACTATGTACTGTATGTATACTGGTCACTAACTGCATCTGAGTGCATTCATATTGCTTAACTACCCATTGGTAATAACACATTGATCCATCAACACAGAAACTCACAGTTGTTAGACATTACTGTACAAGATTCGGCTTTAAGAATGCCATAGTTTAGCATCTCAATTTTGGGATCCTCAGGATGTACATTCAGTGTAATTTACCCTGAGGGATATAAATAGAGTGGACAAACTATAAATATATAACTCAGTATAACCCAGTACAATTCAACAGCACTATAAAATGCAGCCTCTGAAATGACCAGAAAGTTTTAAATCACCACGTCTTTAAAACAGCTTCAAACTAAAAATGGTTATTATAAACTTAATGAAGGTAGGATTTATTTTGCAGAGCCTATTAAACTGCATTAGTTTAAGTGTAAAACAAACTGAGTTAACATACTGATATTTTTGATGTAGTGAATAAAAATGTTTTAAATATATTATCATTTTTATATAATCTGTTTGAGGCTCCCACTTGCTCTTGAAGGTATGTCACAAAACATTTTGGGGTCACAGGATAGAAGCTTAAGACACCCCAGAAAGACCAGATTTAATTTACAGAAGGTTTAGAATTATGATAAGTCAATCACGACTACACAACCTTCAACAAACCAATGTGATCTGATGAGACAAACCAGTACCACAAACACAAATGTCAATCTGTCAGCTGTAGGATTGTTGTGAAGGGCCTGGACTGCATGCAGAGACACAGTTGTGTTGTGGCTGTCACCTGCTACGTACAGTACAAAGCCGATGAGGTTTTAGTGGACCTTGTGTTTTCCTATTGTATGATTTTGCTTCACAGTTGATAGCATCCATGCAAGCACACCAACATCTCACACTCAACCACAGACTTGCTCAAATATCCCAAAGAAGCAAAATAATCTGTCTAGTAAAGAAAAAAAACACCATCTAAAACACTTCATTCTCTCAATCTGTCTTTGACACAACAGTGAAGCACACTAGCAATTACACTGGACTTGTAACCCCCTTGCTAATACTGCACATGGTACAAGGCACTTTTAATCAGTCAATGTTGCAACTGGAGAATAATCTTTCAGGCCCGTGTCGTCACAGGCTGGCGAAAAGGGGAGCAAATCTCCTGCTTTGCATGGACTTAAGAAAGATTATGAAACAGCAAAAATGCAATGCGTCAGTCAAACTGTTTCCATTGCACCCTGTGGTTAACCCGTCCATATACTTTCTGTGAAGCATGTAAGGGCTAAAACATGCTCGCAGCAGCATGCAAATATTTCCACATGAAAAGAGGTTTGTCATATGTAAAGTGTTGAGATTAGCATTCTTATCGGTGTGACATTTAATGACCGGGAAATAGAGATATCCAAAAATAGGGTCATGGAGTCAGCACTTTTGTAGGGATGACACATGTAGGAATGCATGAGGTGTACAGAAATTACAAGAAAAAAGTAAAAGAAAGTGTGCGTGCATGTGTATGTGTGTGTGCGCCTGTGTGTGTGCCTGTGTGTGAATGGGGAGGGGCTCAACAGGAAAAGTTGGCCCTTTGTGGTTCAGCAGATGTGACAGTGTAAAACAACATGTGGTTTGAGACTATGATATGGAAAAATAAGTTGTTTTGGAAAAAGTAGACAGGTTATTTTAGTAAATGTATTTTAGTATCATGTATGGCCTATTTTTGGAAGCAGGACTTCCAAATGCTAAACATTAGAGTTGCAAAACTGGTCTACAACTTTTTTTGCACAAACTGTACAGTAGATATACAGAAGTCCATTGTAATGTATCTAGTGAGTCAATCGGCTTTAAAATGAATTAGTCCAAAATGCATTTTTCAAAATAAAAAAGGACAACTGAAGCCACAAGATAATCTTAGTCACACTGACTTCTGTCATTACAATGAATAAATCTGAGTTAGAATAAGTTTGCGTGAGAAAAAAAGAGAGATGTTTAAACCTGCAGTCACATGTGGCAGGTGAAACAATATTATCTAACAACTTGTAAAAGTAAAATCTAGTTTATAATTCAGTGTGCGACGTTTTAGATTTAATAATACAACAGCAGATAAAAAAAAAGCCGATGAACAGAAAAGCGTACATACATTTCAACACATTTCCTGCAATGAGGAAATATTCCACAGCAGAAAAATAAGATTTCTGACTAAACAATTCAGCAACAATCACATCTTTGCATTCGAGGGACACAACATCACTCACCTCTCAGCGACGTGATGACAGCTCAGTTGGGTTTTTGGGGGTGAACTGCAAAGAGAGAGAGAGAAAGAAAGCGAGAGAGAGGAGAGAGAGATAGCAGGAGTTGCGTCTAATCTCGTGGGAAAGAATAAAAAAATATTGATGACTTCACATAATTCAGGTAACGGAAGCACACAGAACAACTCCGCCGTGCACTTTTGCAAATTATCAGTCATACGTGTTCACTAAGTTGCCTGGTGCAGCCCGTGAAGATACATCCTCCTGGCGCTTTAAGTGGATGTAAAAAAAAAAAAAAAAAAAAAAGCTTTCGCAGTGTGGTTTTGCTGGTTTGAGATTGGCTACAACCGCCCGATTAACTTTGACACAGAGCCAATAAGATCACTGAACAACCGGCGCTGTGGTGCGCTCCTGTACTCACCGGAGGTCCCCTGGTGCCTGGTGCACACAGCGAGAGACGCATCCCGCCCGGCGGTGCTACGGTGGAGACAAAAACAAGCAAACCCTTGCGGACGTCGAACGTTACGCTGTGGGAGATAGTTCACGGGAGATGTAGTCCATTTGACAGCCCGCTACCGTTACTGTGAACGACGCAGACGCCGCGTAAAAACTACACGTCCGCCATTTGTAAAAGAGCTAAGCACTGCTTGCATCAGCGTGTGGACGGCACTCACTGGCAAAGTTTATATCAGCAGCTGGGTTACTTGTCTTGTTTTAAAGTAAAAAAACAACAACATATATATTTATATTGACACCGTTAAAGCCAGTCGGAGTAGCTACCAGCGGCCAGATGAAGCTCTTCGTAAGTGAAGGCAACCCGCATTGCCTGAAGGTGTTAGCTGCGTTAGGAGTGACTGGAGTTCAGTGCGACGTTCAGTATGTCAACCACGAAGGTAAGAAAAGCGTGGTTAGCTCACACATTAGTCTGTGAGTCTACCTTTAATAATGGGGAGTATTAACAGCTGCTGTTGGTTGAAAGCAGCAGTGGCTCGTCATTTATGTACGTGTGGTTTTGTGGAGTTACAGTCTGTGGTGTAACGTTAACTAACACGGTTGTAACTGTGATATCAAACCAAGTGTTGTCAGTCCTGTTGAAGTGAGAGCTGTCTGTCAGTGTCAGTCACTGATGAATGGAGAGAACAGTCCACCTGTGTCTGAGAAGCAGCTAGAAACCTCTTACCGCACATCACTGCTTTGTTGGTCTTGTTTCAGTACTGTTTGTTTGTGTAGCCTTTGTGTAGCAGTGTGCAGCTTCAGGTGTCAGTACAGTAAACCTCTCTAATGTCTAACATTACAACTTTAATGCCTGCAACAGTCTGGGACTTGGATTGGAAAGCTGTATTACAGACACAATCAAATATCTTGTTATACCGTATTTAAAAAGGAAAAAAAATTGTCAGTGTTTGGGGAAAGCATTTGTTACTGGTGTCAGGCTGCACCTACTAAAAAAACCTTGATAGATAATGAAGGACCTGAAAACTTGAGAAGGAGAGGAGAGGAGAGGAGGCCAACATGGCCACAATCCAGGTTTGAATTATACCAATCTCTTCTGTTACCTGTATTGACAGTGACACAAGTCTGTCTGTATGTTGATCCATATTAATTTCAGCCAAACAACTCATCCCTCCTCAGGATCGGGGGCAATTAATGGTCACAATAGGCTGTTTTAATACAAGTGGTCCACAATGAGTTTAACATGGTAGTATTGGTGCTTCTCACCCTTTTTGTTGTCAAGGACCCCCAATTGATCCACAACAACCACAGGCCATTGATAGTATACTGACAGACCCATATTTGATAAGATGTAGTTTTGCCATCACTGTCTACACTAGAGATTGGCAGATTAACAGTGAAGAGTGTAAAACCTGTGATTAAATTAGTCATATAGATTCTCTCACTGGGCTAACTTGACAGTGAAATGATAGTGAAATTAAAATATCCCCCCGTAACCCCTTCAAATACCCCTGGGTTGTTGAGAACCACTGGGACATCATCTAGATGCTGCTGTGCAAAGGAATCAGATTCTAATTACATGGTAATATAGCCCAGCTTCGGGCGTATGGTCTGGTTGTCTCAGACATGTGAGAGTGGCTTCAGAATCAGAATCAGAATCAGAAATACTTTAATAATCCCAGGGGGAAATTACTTAATTCAACTTCACTCCTAGTCCCAGATGTGTGCTAGTCCTCCTTGGGATTTGGACCACAGAGATGGATAATCAGGGCCGCCTGTGATGCAGCCACAGTGTATGAATGAAGTGGACTGAACTAAGAATACATTATGTATATAAACAGCATTATTGGTGTTGAAGTATACTGTATCATATGTAGTATATAACGGTTTTTGTTATCTATCAATTGATTCATTCCACAAGTCTAAAATATTGAACATTTATTAAAGTTACAATAATACTAATTGTTAATGTTACTCCTGCTGCATTGAATCTTATCAAATGATATTGTCCAAGTCAAGACATCAGTAATACTGTATTACCAGAATCCCCTCATCTGCTCTGACTTCTGATAAATTACAGATTAAGAAGATCAGATCCTTGACCTTCCGCATGACCTTTGTGTTCTTCATAAACCTTTCTAGTAACTTCACTGATAAGTATTGAGGCTGAGAATTTGATCGCAGGATTGCCCTTGATGCACTTGATGATTCTTGTGTTATTAGTTCTCCATGCAGTGTTTAACTCTCATATAATCTCTTCCCAGGACGTGTTGAAGTGAATTTGATCCAACAGATTTCTCTCTCTCTCTCTCTAAAGATTAGAAGGAGGTTTTATAGTCTGAATTAACATGTTCAACCAGCTGAAGAATCTAGTCCAACCAGTCATAGAAACATACTCATCTGCATAACAATATTGTCTGCTAACAAACATTTTCGATTTTATCCAGAGAGAGTGGTGCCCTTCCTTAGCCGTCCAACCTTGCCAGCCCTGCTCCTGCCTAGTGGACTGCACCTTTTCAGCTCCAATGCCATCTGCCGGTCAGTACATTATAGTCCAATCCTGCTTGGTCGTTTATGAATGCCAATGCCAGGTTGGCAGGGATGTGGAGGCTATTAATCAATGCTTCTAAGTAACTTGTCAGATATTCCAAATCCTAAAGGGCCCTTTCAGCAACAGAAATATATTTTCACATATCTCAATATGTAGTCATGGCAATAGCTTTGGCTGTAACTTCTCAGGTTTTCTTAATTGTATTGGTATGGCAGCAGACATTTCTGAGATAGATATCTTCCAAAATAAAACAGGTGAGTGAAATGTGCTTTTGTTTGACAATGATTACATTGCAGTACAATTTTGAGGCACAATGTAACTAACTCTTGAAAGACGGAGCTCATTTTTTTAGGTATGTTTGTTTGGCACCTCAGAGGAAATTTCTTTTGAAAGCCAATAAGCTATTTGACAGGTCTTCCTTCTGTTTCTCACTTTTTGACATATTAGATACCTATTTGAAGTAAGTGGAAAAGACTCCAGTGAACTTTGCAATCAGTGGCTTGAATGGGAAGCCACAGATCTTCAGGTAAGCACAACATAAAACACATTTTGCTGGTGATGTATTGTACAAAACACTAAACCTGAACCAATCTTTCTGCATGCCCTGTAGCAGCAGGAAGGAAATGAACTGTTCAACCTCCGTCATGCTCTAATGTCATTCAGTCAATTCTAATTAATTTCTGTTTTGTCTTATTTGTGCAGCCTGCACTGCTACAGGCCCTTCACATGGCAGTGCTACAGGGAAAGGCATCAGAGGTGTCCAAGGTCCTCCAGGGGCCCCTAAACTACTTGGACCAAAGCTTGAGCAAGGGGAACACGCCATATTTAACTGGGGTACATTTTGCATCTCTTCTTAGTCGCTACTGCACTTGCTATTTTCCAATACCCACGTAGTTGCCATGTATAGTATGAACACATTAAGAAGATAAAGACAAACACACTTGATGATATATGATCAAGTCAAAAGTTCATGGTGCCTCTCTGGAAGCTCAGCTGAGCTTAACTGAGCGTCTCCGCTGTGCCAGATCAGGCTCCTCCGGCAACATTTTTTTTTCTGTCTTTCTTCAGCTGCTGATGCTGAGCTAGTGATGCATTTTTAAGTTAAAACAATTTATCTGGGGATGAGGTCCCTTATGTTGCAGATGTGCCTGAGTGTGGGTGGGTGGATTGGGTGGGGGGGGGTCTGTCTCTGTGCTATTTGCAGCCCCGTGGCAATGAGTCATCTGAGTGTCATATATTTCATGTGTACAGAAATGTGTTTTGTTAGGTCTCTTGGTGATTGACATGACTGGGAGGAACACTGTGTCTAGCTTAACAGAGATTGTGGTTTTCACACACAGTGATACATATAGTCCAGGTTTTATATAGTCTTCCTTATGGTTGTTCTGTATGCAGAATTTGCACAGGGGGTCGGGTCTGCATTGTTTAGGGCTTTCAAAACAATAAGCATTTAACTTTTTAGTGAGGTGACAGTAAAGGACACATAGCAAGAAATGTTGCGTGTTAATTGCTTTAAAAAAATAATGTTCATTAAACTGTGCTGTGTTTCAGGAAGCTGTTTCAGTTGCTGATGTTGTTTTGTGGGCTGCGTTGTACCCCATTTTATCTGACTCTTCACTAGCATTGGGTAAATACTAATAAACTTTGAAATTCTTCGTTATTCGTTTTTGGCCATACATAAATTGTCTATTCATGAACTAACATTTTTTTTTAATAGCGTAACTTCTTCTCTATTTTCATTTAATTATTCCATTTTCTTTTTCTTTTACTTACCTTTCACCTTTTATTTTAAAATATTTATTTACAATACACTCTCTCTCTCTCTCTCCCTCTCTCCCTGCCTGCCTCCCTCCCTCCCTCTTTTCCAATCGCCTTTGCTTTCCATTTCAGGTGAATGCAAGTCTGTGAAGACTTGGTTTGACCGTGGGGCTGCTGTTATGTGCAGTTTCCAGTCTGCTGCTCAGAAAGTGCTGCAGGGAAAAGGCCTGCAGGGCATGAAGAGCTACATGCAGAGGCAGCCTGCCCCTCAGAGCAGCCAGTGCAGAGACACACAACCATGCAACAGCAGCCCTGCTGAGGTATCAGCCAGATCATCAGGATAACTATTAGACTTAAAGCTTTCTTACTGAACAAAAAGCATTCAGAGGTGCTTCAGTGCCTAACTACACTTGTGCTTATGCCTCAGGAAACATGTACGTGTACATGTAAGGTTTCCAAGAAAATGTATAGTCTTTTTATTTTTATAATGCAAATA